TTCCCTTCTTGTCAAGTGGAACACGAGATACCCTTGCCACTTACCAGTTCCTAGCCACTGGGGTGATGGGCTTTAGAGAGTTTCTTATTGGTTGGTCTTTGTACAATATGATAAAAAGTATGGTGTCATTATAGTGTTTGGATGGCAATGTTCTTATTCTGCCCATTTCTGCAACACTTGGGGCTCATTTGACGGTCAATATTTATATTCTGGGCAAACAATATACCATGGTTGAGATGTGTTCTCCCACAGGTGTTCCTTATGGAGCCCCTGTCATTGGGTGTAACACTCCTTGGGCTTTCTGTTTGGATATTTTTTGAAGGGAACTTATCTTAGTTTAAATTTGCATCCACCCCTTCACCAATTGAACATGGGATTTAGTTATTTTGTGTGAAGAGGTAAGGTATTGTCTCAGAATTTAATATATTCCTAACCTGAAAATGTATTTTCAATAGATACTTCCTCACACATTCCCACTCAACCATTTCTGGTGCAATTTCTTCTTGCATCTTCTGAGAATGAAGTTATTGAGAGTGCAAGTGCATAAAGGGAGTTACTGCACATAGAGGTTGTGTCTCCCTCCTATTGGTGGAGAGCTATTGTTGCATGTTGATGTCATCTTCCACCAGTGCAGATCAAGCTAAACACACGAATCTTAGGTGGGAGTTAGCTCCAGGCTAGTGGCATGCACATCTTTTAGGTAGATACACCAGTGAGATATCTATTCTGTGTGTAGAGGTAAGTATCTATTGGAAATACATTTTCAGATTAGTAAAATGTTAACTTTTATATTTTACCCTTATGATATATTTAAGCAATTAAATATGCATATCAAATTTCACATTTAATGTGTTTTAAGAAGTTTTTCTACCATATACCACCTTTTGCACATATATATATATTTGGATTACTGAAATGAGCTTAGGAAGCTACTTTCCTTATATACCATAATTATGCTCTAAAGCCTGCAAGGAGAATGAAACTGTTTCATTGAAGTTTGTATTTATTACTACATATAGACTTAAGCAAAACAATATTAAACAAAACTTATCATTTTGAATTAAATTACCTGGAATTGATTTCTGATTGGTAGTTATTATTATAAAATGTTTTTCAACTCTTTGTTCTTATGCTTTACATAAGACAAACACACATAATATGTCTTTAGCATCTATTTTGAAAGTACTAAATAAACATATTTTAAAATATATTTGAATATGTGTGTGTCAAATTACAAAAATTATTTATAATTAAAAATGTTTCTTTAGGTCACCATCACAGTTAAAAAGAGTCAGAATACTGACTATATTGCTTTAAAAGATATCAAAGGTAAGAAGTTTAAATTGTGTTGTTTGGCATCTGTTAAAAAAAATTAAGATTATTATTATTTGTCTAATTTGGATAGTAATAACAGTTGACATTCATTCTTGTTCTGGTATTAAAGGATTTAGTAACTTACCACTTGTTCAATTAAATTAATCATTCATCTTTGTATAAATGTAATGGTAGATTTGGAAAAGGTTGGTAGCCTAATAGCTCAATGCACATATATACTGTTAAGATTATCATGCCTCTTTGATAGGTTTTATGACTAAATACCCAGAAATTCTTTCATGACAGTTAATTTGAGGATAATAAATTACTGAAACCAATGTCACAAATGTTAACCAAACCTTATTTTCATTTCATGTTACATTTTTGGTAGAAATCTTTGCACAAATAGATATGTAACAAAACAAATCGACTACAATTTACTCTAATAAAAATTTGAGATTATTTTAGTCAACCTTTTTGGAAAGAAACAGGGGATGTTCAACAAATGAAATAAAAAGAAAAAATCTAAGTTTAAGCACTCAATTGACCCTTGTAAATGTTTAGTTTCTGTTTAAAGTATATTTACTAATTTTTTGTGCTAGGTAAAACATACTTGTTTGATAATATAATTTATTAGTTATCAGCAGATTAGTAATTTTAAATGATAGTGTTCTGTCAGTTGCTTCTCATAATATTAATGTTTTTGCATCATTATATTTATTATCCTATATGACCACAAGTTTTAGTTATCTAATTACTAATTTTTCATTATTATTTTTATTAGGCTGGTTATTAGGCTGAATATTCTAGATAACTATGTCACGTGTGTATTTTGAGCCCATTTTAGCATAAAAGTATAGCCTATATACGTTTGTTGCTTCTTTACAGGATGTGGCCTGTTTATAAAGGTAACCTTCCCTCTGACTTATCCTCTGATTTTAAACTTGATTAATAAAAAACAAACCTCTTTATTTGAAGTAGCCTCTAAATCAGAAAACAACAAATATGTTTTTCAATTTTGGTTCACATTTCTTGGAATTTATTTTATTTTTTTCTCCTTGCTTGCTCTTAGGGTATATACTGTTTTCATTTTCTACTAGCTCTCTTCTAATGCACCAAATGTCTTGTCTCCTTTATGTTTGTGACTTTTGGCCTGTTTTGAGTCTTTCTTCCTTTCCTGATTCCCTCTCATTGGTACACATTTGGCCAGCTTGGGAATTGGATCTCTTGCCTTCTATTTCCTGTTCTGGTCTTCCACTTTCATGTTTTCATCTTTTTCTCTCTCACTCTAACTCCCTGTATTCCCTTTTTTAGTTCTGCCTTTTGTCTGAAGCACTTGTTTATGCTTCAGATGCACTTATGTAGATGTTCATTTCCTTCTCTGTTTGGCCTGTTCCATTTCTTTTGCTCTATCCCTCCTTACTTTGTTTCCCTGTTGTTAGGACTTGTTGTGTCAGTTACATTACTCTTTATTGTACTCCTTTCTTCTTGGTTTCTGTAGTGTTTTTATATGGCTTCTGTCCTTATATTATGTAGGTTG